ATTTTTTTTGGACAACTTGTTTAGTTTAATTAGTGTTTACTTCGTCAATTAAAGGATACATGTGTATGGATTCAAATCTCAAACTATGTAAAATTTATATCGTGAATTCGAATTTACGAGACCCTCACATATGTATTTCAAGTTAGGAAAGACATAAAAACTATAAAAAAAATTACGCAATATATATTATATTACGAGTCGTATTTTATATGTCATGCATAAATTAAGTTCATCTCCCTTGTTTGGAATTAGTTTTTTTGACAAAATGTTGTTTTTTTTTTTTTTAAATGACAATATGTTGTTGGAGTTCTTGTTGTATGAAAAGAACACAAGAATAAATTTTCTCCAATAACCAATATATACAATTATGTATTACGTAATTTGTTAATTTTTGTAGCAATGAATAACTTCATTTCATTTTCATTCTGTGAAGGAACATCATGATTTGGGCGTGCTCTTTGGGATTGACACACGACACGGTCCCGTTCCATGTGAAAGCATCGGATAACATAACATCGAATGTTTATTGCATCAAAGAATAAAAATAAAAATTGACCATTACAGTATTAGACACTGATCTGAATAACAATACTCAGATTTAGGGGAGCATTATGTGAGACAAAACCATGTGACCTTTCATCACTAATGTTTTTCTTATTTACACCACAAATTAGGTGATTCCCTGCGTTACACGCGGTTAAATATTTTTTAGAAATCAAATAGATTAAAAAAGTATTATTTAGTTAAAAATTATTAATGATGTTCAATTTGAATTTAAGTTCAATTTTTTTTCGTTTGTTGACACTAATTTTATTTTCATTAATAACACTGATAATAACTTTATTTACAATTTAATTAACAAAAAACAATTGAATTGGTCATTGGATCTAATTTTATATCTTAATAACCAAGTAAGATTTTATCGTTTCTAAAAGTTTTTCCATTTCTATTGATGTTAGAGTGTCGACTTTGTCGTTAACAAATTACACCAAAATACTACTATTGTGTGTAAATTCCCTTTAAGTTTGAAAAATTGACAAAACAAAACACGACATATTGTGATCAATTGTGTTCAATATCCATTTGGTTAAACCCGTGTGAATTATTTTATTTTTGAATAACAATATCTAAAACAAAAATATTTACTATGGATAATATTTTTTTTTAGATTCAATAGCGAATTTGGACACTTAGATTTGATTTTTTTTTAAGTTTACTTAAATTGTAAAGATATTGATATTGATATTTTGTTATTTTCTTATAACTTTATATATAAAAAGATGAAGTTTACTATAGAAATATAAATTATCTAGACCAATAGCTTAAAGAGTACATATTTATTAAATAAATATGTACAACTCATATTTATTGGAATTGTATCATATTATAAATTATGTTAAATTTGGCTTGTCTGAATATCTTAAGTAGAATTTAGAATACAAATAAATTATTTAATATTTTAAAACATTAAAATATATAAACATAAATTTTATATATGAAACAAGGATTAAAAATGTTTTTTGTTACTTTCAAATTAAAAAATCTTTTTGTTACTTTCAAATGGTCTTGTGTGAAAAACAAAAAATCTAAAGAATGATTATATTTGTTGTTATAATTTTTGGAAGTTTTTTCATAAAACATATCAAAATTTCTTGAGAAATTTTAAAAAATACCACTTTTCAAAATGCCATATTTTCAAAATCTTTGCAAAAATTCCACTTTTTTTTTAAAAAAAAATCATTATATCATTTATGTTTCGGTTAACTATGCCATTTCACATTTTTTACAATGTCATGTCACATTTAAATTGGGAGAGTGATTTTGGTGAAGACACATAAGCAAATCACTCTCCAATTAATATATAAGGGATAAGTTTTAGTTGACTAATTGCAATAAAAGAATAATTTGTTTTCTCATTTAAAAATGTGGTTAATTTTTCTAAAATTTAATTAAAATCAAAAAAATTGGAAAAACACCTAGTTACATATGTACATATAGTATTCAACTTATGTACTTTATTAATATTTAGCTAAAGATATCAATATCTATAACCGTGTGTGATTGTGAAGACAACATTCATATTGTCTTCTTAACCGATAATTGGACTAATAAGGGATTGGCAGATTTTCTTAATGTGTTTGAGTTAATTTAGTTAAAGATTAATTTTCTTAATGAGTTTGGGCTAATTTAGTTAGGGATTAATAGGTTAGAATGCCATGTCACATTTTTTACAATGTCATGTCATAATTAAATTGGGAGAGTGATTTTGGTGAAGACACACAAGCAAATTACTCTCCAATTAATATACAAGGGATGACAAATTCCAAGATCACAAGCGTTTTTTATTGGTTAGAAAAGTCTCCAGCCTTTTGAAGAT